GAGAAGGAGAGAGAGAGGGAAGGAGGAAGAGGGAGGAGGAGGGAGGGAGGAGGGGGAGAGAGAGGAGAAGGAGTGGGAGGGAGGGGGGAAGGAGGGAGAGGGAAAGAGGGAGAGAAGGAGAGAGAGAGAGGGAAGGAGGAAGAGGAGGAAAGGGAAGGGAGAGGGAAAGAGAGCTTCAGACTCTTCCCCTTGGCCATCTCATGGCCATTTTGCCATGCTTTGTCTTTTCTAGACATCGTGGATGGGAATCTGAAGGGCATCATGAGGTTGGTCCTTGCGCTGGCCGCTCACTTTAAGCCCGGACCCGGAAAAACCGCTTCGCCAAGACCTGTGGAGGAGATCCAGGCGGGGAGCCGAACCTGGCTGGCCCGTCACAGGCCTCGCTCGGCTGTGGCAGCTGCCCAGGAGGCGGTGGCCGCCCTAGCAGAAGTGCGCCAGGATGTCGCGGGAGTGGGCCGTGGTCACGCCCTCCAGCCGCACCCCAGGTACGTGCCCTCTTTGGGACGCTTCGATATTTGCAAGTGGTTCTTGGCTGGGATTAGAACCACTCACTTAGTGCAGGGCTCTCCACTCTTGGCCACTTTAAGACTTCTGGACTTCAGCTCCCAGAATTCCTCAGGCAGCTTTGCTGGCGTCCTTCATTTCACAATCGCCTCGCTTGGCAACAGAAATTCTGCTTCTGATTGTAGTTGTAAGTGGAGGACGACCTGTTGGTTTTTCAAAGTTTCAAAGGATGCTGTAAGCACCGGTCTTTTCCCCTTCAACCGAAAAGAATGAACTTCTGAAAGCTAGGCACCTCAAAAGGAATTCTTTATTGAAAGGAAGTGGTCCCGGTACTAGTCAAAGCGGAATCTAAGATGCTTCCGGGCACACAGTAATAGATAAAGGGAATTAGAACCCCTCCCCTTATTCTGATGTGGATTTAGTCAAACAAAGAACCAACATGTTAATTCTCCCCCCTCCCCCTTTTCTGGGAACGTATCTTAGAAAAGCTTCCCAGGGAGTATCTTTCAGAGCCGGAATTTTTATGGTCCCTTCTCCTCTTCCTATCTCTCCAAGAGGTGACAAGTTTCTAGGCATCTGGCTCCAGTCCTCCAGTTGTATATCGTGTGCAAGTTATACAGATTCAATATAAGATTTAAGATATTCAGGTTACATCTAAAAGGATTACTTGTACCAACTCCCCCCACCCTTCTTCCATTGAAGAATGGCAGATACACGGATCTGACAGATGCAGAGGGGACGGCATTTTGTCTGTCTCTTTTATTTTTGGCCTCTCTGGCCCTTCTCCTAACGGTGCTGTCCTTGTCTGCAGAAACAGCCCCCTGCACGGAGAGAATGAGCGGCCTCACTGGAGCGTCCGAGCGCTCGTCCAGCAGTATGAAGGCCAGCAGAGCAGCGGCCCTTCAGAGTCCTCGTCCTCCAGGTAAGAGATGCTTCGCTCCTTCCTCACCCCTGGGAACCTGCAGTAAGCTTTGAGAATAAGCGAGGCTGCTCGCGGGCCCACCACCAGCTGCGCGGGCCATAGAATGGAACGGAGTAGAGTAGAGTAGAATGGAATAGAAACAGAACAGAACAGAACAGAACAGAAGAATAGAATAGAATAGAATAGAATAGAATAGAATAGAATAGAATAGAATAGAATAGAAGATAGGATAGGATAGGATAGAACAGAACAGAACAGAACAGAACAGAAGAATAGAATAGAATAGAATAGAATAGAATAGAATAGAGGATAGGATAGGATAGGATAGGATAGGATAGGATAGGTTAGGATAGGATAGGATAGGATAGGACAGATCAGAACAGAACAGAACAGAACGGAACAGAACAGAAGAATAGAATAGAGTAGAATAGAATAGAATAGAACAGA